TCTGTTTATAGCTCCTCTGAGAACAAGAAGAAAACATCCCGTCAAAATTAATTCCTCGATGTTTTCACCACATGCCCACTAAGCAATGTTAGACACGACTCTCATGTGAAATAGTGTGCTATGTGCCTGGCCTAGGACTTGGTAGCGCCTTAGTTACCTCCCTGCTAAAAGAGCACACCACCTCCCCCTTCTTTTCTTTTTTGCAATGCAGACAGAGTCCCAGGTGCAAACTATTTGAGATCAGATGCTTCTGAACTTGTTTCCCCCACATTTTGCTACCACCACTTTCACAGAAAGAAATGTTGGTAAAACCACATTGGGTCTTCCCTGTGTGGCAGGAGGAAAGATGTTAACCATGGCCTCAGAGAAGACTGGCATTGGGTTGGTTTCATAACCATGTTATCAGGATCTAAGTTACTGGAGGCAGAGGGTGACCAGGACTGCTGGAAAGTGGTCTATAGAGTTCATCTGGCAGAGACGTCTCCCAGTTTCAGAAAGAATATTTAAAAAAATTACAATAAGAACAGAACATTGTAGATCATACTGATGTTAAAATGGAAACCTACCAGAAAGGAAGGTGGGGTTATTTCACACTTCTATTCACCAAGCAAAGGTAGAAGAGAAAGAAAATTATAATAGAGCTGTGGTTTTCCAGTTAGAAGAGCCTGTTTTACCTTCCTGTGTACAAGCTGTAAAGGCACTCTTTGAATTACTCAGTTAAACCAGTCTCTAACTGAGTGAAAAGGCAAAGTACTGAAAAAAAGCGCCCAAACCAGCAAGCCTACAGTTGCAAAGGAAAGAGTGCGTAGCGTACATAGTGAGTATACCTGTGACCTAAGCACTGTCACTGATAGAACTCTGCTAATTACATCTCTGGTGGCATAAAATTCAGCTTTTGATGACTGTGAAGCAGAAGGTACCAGAGCCCTATCTAGAGTACGTTTCCTGGTGGCCCTCGTGTCACATAGGACTGCCCAGAGCAGTCTCCAGCAACAGCCCAGTTCTCTAGCAAAAACAGAGAGCAGCCAGGACAAGTTAACTTTGAAGTGCTGGCATGCCACGCTGTTCCAATTGAGTCACCTTCCTGAACCAACTGTAAGATAATTTTGCACAGTAAGTGAGTAAAATGGATTTATGATCAGATGCAGCGATTCCCCACTAGTCCTCATACATGTACTGCGATGGTGGGTGAGTGCCAAACAAGGCACCTCTGCTCAAATACAGGATGCATTTTCTGTCTTGAAAGCAGGGGACAGGTTCTGCTGGGAGAAAAATCAAACCAAGCTCTCAAACGATGCATTCTGTAAATGTTTTTCCTGTTAGAGGAGAGCCAGAGGGACTAGTGGTCAGTGCCCTAGAAAGACAGGATTGTCTTTCCAGCTTTGGTGTGCTGGGTAAATTTGGGTAAGTTCACTTTCGAAAGTATTTTGCAATCCAAAGAGCAAGAATGCTGAACAGGGGGTGAGCTTTACTGTAATGAGCTTCTCCCCTTGGTTCCCCTGTTCCTCTAAAGGCTCTGCTATTCTCCTTCTCCCCCTCCGCTTGAAAAAACAAACACTGAAACGTGCATGTTTTACAAGAGCAGCTCAATTCCGCTGTACTCGAGTAGCAGGAGACTACAGCAAATGAAGGCAGCACAGGGTCGGTATCCCAGAAAACGGTAAGAATGTTTTAGCCACTAGATGGCAAAAATCACCAGAAGTTGCTGCAGAGCGGCTGTTGCACAAGCTCTATCTGGTCCCCGTTATTCCGGATTCAAAGTCAGTCCTGTTTCCACCAGAAATTCATTTTGACAAATCCAATCTTTAAATGTCCAAGGGGGAGTCGTTTAACAAACATGCACAGCAGATTTGTGTCCAACCCTATTTTCAATGAGACATCTGCAGGAGGCTCCGCGTAGGGATGCTCAAAGGGAAGGCTGGTGCTCTGTCTTTAGCTGGAGTGGTTTAACAGTGTTCCAGAATTTACATGGAAATCTCAGAAGTGAGCAATTAAAAAAAAAATTGAAAAGAAAAAGAAAAGAGGCAAATCACAAATTTTCAGTTTTGCTTGAATTATTTTCAGCCCCAGGTTTTCTAATTTGGCCACAAAACAAACAAACAAGCAAATCAATTACTACCACAATGCTAAGCAGCATAATATACTGAGGGGATAAAATACTCTTTTAAAGTGTCCATGAGACTGAGACATCCTCACTTTGGATGCGTCAGAATAAAGCCCTTATCAATCCTATTAGAAAGTCAAAGCCACCCAGAAGAAATAGGTAACAGGTATTGTACATACAAAACAGCACAGACAAAATTAAAACTCACTTGTATGTCTGCCACATGAGTTGCTTCCATTAAACCCTCCAAAGCACTGAAGTGATATATTTCACCGATATAATCGAGCATCTCGCAATGAGGAGCTGATCTACAGCACTGCTGCTGCAGCCAGCACATCCCTGCAGCCCAGAAGTCATAAAGGAATACCTGATGGATCCATGGGTCAAAATTTTATTTATTTATTCTCTCCCACACATAACTTGGCACAATGACATATTTGCTACTCCCTTAAGTCCCATAAGGATGAGAGATCCAATTCACTGATTTTAGAAAATTATTATAAAAATAAGGAAGTAAATGGCTTAAGTCTATTTCAACCTACTTATGGACTGTGGCCTTGCCCCAGTCAGCAGCTAGGGAACTGGCTGGATAAATCTTTCATACAAGGAGCAAAAGGCCAGAGTTTTCTGAAAAGGCCATTAGAGACCATGCAGGGGGCAAACTGGTCTCTCTCCAGCTCATCGCCAGATGCATTATTATACCAGAAGACAGTCTCGTCCTTACAGAGAGCCAGCAAAAAGGAGAAAAGCTTCATTTATGGCTTATGATCATGAACTACTCTGCTAGCTCAGATGCCTGGAAACCAAAAAAGCAGCAAATTGCTTTTGTCCTTGATATGTACTGAGAAAGCGCTGTTTTTCAGTAACCACTACAGCAATTTTGCCAGTCTTTGCATAACCTGAATCACCAACAGCAAAGGAAAAAAATCTCTGGGAACAGTAGATCAACACAGCGTGCAAACAGTATGTGCAGTTTGCAAGTGCCCTCTATTTTTTTAATTCCAGTATTTACCTGTTTCAGGCATGAAGTTGTTAGCATATTCCCCACCTCCTATTGGAAACTCCACACTAAAAAAGCAAATTTTATTCCTCGTATATATTTAATTTTTCAAAATAATCCTTTAGCGCTTTTAGGTGAGAAAAAGCTATCTCTGCTGCTGATATTCAACTTGTCTTTTCATTCCAAGCTTTTAATTAACTTAGCTGGAAAGAATACTGTTTGTTTCCTTTGTGTTGTGAAAATTTAGTTTCCATAAAAATTTCACACCAGGCTCATTTTTTGCAAAATGAACCTTCAACGTGTTTAAGTATTATTAGAACAATACTGAGAAATACTCAATCTATCTAGCATGTTTTCCCTGACTTATCTCAGCAGATTCACCACAACAAATCTAGTTGAAAGCTGAAAGAATCAAACAGTTAGCTCAATACTCATCTTTTCTGGCTGAAAGTCTTTTCCTTATATTTCTACAAATTTAGATTTGGAAGTGGATTGCAAGGCAGTTATCACTGAGGACAGGCCCAGCCTTTCCCCTCGCCTGTGCATTTTTCTTATGCCTGGCAAGGCAGCCTTGCTACTGGGAGAGCAAGCTTTGATTAGGAAACAGATGTCCAGCCTAAATTAACACAGGGCAATTAGGATCCTTCATGTGTCTCTTAAGACTCCTGAAATAGCCCAAGAGATACAGGATTTCCCTACCCATCTGCAGTCGCACATGGCTGGGAAGTGATACGCATCCTCTTCTGGGTTCTCCTAGTAGCCAGGCTTCAGCCATGGAGATTTTAGGGTCTTCACCAACAGGCTTTTCCCCTGGGCTCCCGTCTGGGGTAGACCAGGGCTCCATGGAGATCTCAGAACTGTTTCCTTCAGGGAACAACACACCCTGGGTCTTGAAGAGATGATTTCTAAATCTGAAAAACCTCCAAATCACACCATGGCCCTGGCTTCTGCGTATACAAATGCCCTGCCAGCCTGCAGGAGGGGGGCTAAAGCAAATTATTAAGTTGAAAATGCCTTTTACAGACTATGCTCTTTCCTCTCCCATCACTTCTATGCTGGTATGTTTGCCGCTTTCTTAAAATGGACTCTGGCTTGCCAAAAAACAGGACATCAGGCGATCTATTGTTACCCTTTCATGCCCTTCTGCAACTCCACATTGTAGGACCACTTAGTTGTGCAGGTCCATCCGGACGAGCAGCATAACGTCTCTTTTTGCTCATCTCCATGCTGTACTTCACAGCCCAGCACTGAGGCCTGATTTCACAGCGTGGTTTATTCATGCTGTGCTTCTGGGATGTCGAAAACCCCTGGGAGCATCAGGGTTTCAAAGCCTCCGTAGGTTCTCTGCACTATTTGTGAGTCTTTTAAAGGAGAGCGAGCTGTACCACACGGGGGTGCTCCGAAAGCATAGTATGGAGGATGCTGCATAGCAGAGCTGCTCTAGCTTCAAGGGTGACCGAGGAGGAAAAATTTGCTGGTGCTGCATTCAACACAGAGGGTAGAGCTGGTTTCGCTCTACCCTTCAGACTGGTGCTCCAAAACCCAATTCCCCTTGACCGTCCTTATTTTACTCAGTTGACTTGTATCCATTGGCAAGGTGCAAGAATAGAGAAACGCCTGTTAACATTCACAGTCACAAATACAGTGGGATTAAAAAAGAGGATGCACATAAGGAGTAGTGCAATTCTTTGCTTCATGGAGCATTTTATTGTATTTCCCAATGGTAACAGATTGATGCTATTGTGCTTGTTAGCATGGTCAACTTTTATTACAAGACTATTAAGAGTTTTATCTCTATATGGATCTTTGAGATTCTGAGGGAAAGTTTTTCCTTGAGATTCACAACCCATCCTTAGAAGCCTATACTAATAAAGTGCACTTGTTTTTGCCTCACAGCACACTGAAGGCAGCATTTGAGAGGCTTAAGCAACGTAAGTATTTACCTCTTCCTTTCTGACCTGGGCTAAGACAGGCACACAATGTGTTTGTCCCCTCTGGGGTCTTTCATCCTCTTCCCCCCTCTATTTCCAACTTTTCTATCCCAGTCTGTAGTATGGAGAGCGGAGGGAAAGGATATTCACTGGGAGTCCTCCAAGGCTGGGCACACAGTCCACTCTCTGGCAAATAAAATGGCTTGTTCCTGAAGTTAGTTTTATCTGGATCAAGTCACAAAATATCAGCTCTGTTCCCTCTTCTGTAAACCACTGACATCAAAACAGCATGCTTTCTAAATGTGCCCAAGGCTGAACAAAAACTTTTCACACGCAGAAAATGCAACACCATCATAGCCAATAGGACAGCGTACCTGGCTACTGGCACCTGCTGTTTAGATAAAAACACCCTTTTGAAAAGCAGCTGGTGAATCAAGGTATTTTTAGAGCCTGGGTGGGGGAGCTCAACATTTCTGGAAAATGTGGGGTTCCATTTCAGAGGCACCAAAGCCAACAAATGCAGAGAAGTTACCAGCCACTTCAAACAGCATCAGCCAGGTGCTCTGAAATTCAATCCATCTTTGCTGACCCTTGGAAATTCTCAGCTTGCAACCTCGTCTAATGACATTTGTGCAAGGCTGGACACCACTGGCAAGCAGCTCCCAAGAGCAGTTACAATCCAGCAGCATAGTGGAGGGAAAGCAGACACAGGGGGTGATGATGTCATCATCAGGTCAGACGCTCCTTCCCTCCCTCTGCACCACAATGTCTGACCTCCAGCCCCAGAAGGAAGAGGGCTGGCAGGGGTAAATGGGGCTATGAAGAAATGCAGCTGGCTCTTCACTTGCCAAGGCTGCTCTGAGTGGGTGCTCTGATTCTGCAGCGGGAGCCTTGTCTGTGCAACTTGCAGGCGCTGAGAGGACCTGCAATAAGCCCTATTCAGGTCGTGCGAACCCACGGCAGTGTCAGTGCATGCAGAAACACAGGGAGGCCTATTTAAGGCTGCCCTGTTAATGACAATTCATATAGCAGCCACATCCCAGAAACATCTCCTGAAAAATGTGACTTCATATTTAAAGACCTTTCCACTGACTGTATATGAATTCTGATTTGCTTTAGAAATCGAAAGTGTTGGAAACTCTCATATCCAGCTGGCAGTAATGCTGAAGGATGAACTGAAAGGAATAGAAGAGTTCCGAGAAAGACAGAAGGAGCAAAGAAAAAAGGTGAGGAACTAGAGAAATGTTGAAACAGGTTGGGTCAATGGTCCATGCTGATGACCCGTCTCCAGCCATAGACTGTGAATACTGCAAAAGATGATAAAACATGCCCAGTGTGCCCTGTTCACTCCATATACTAGACTGTGGAAGAAAATTGCTTTCTGATCCCAGCTGGAAATAAAGTAGTGCTCCGAACTCAGGAGACAGAGGCTTTAGTCACTTTTACTCTCTCTGGTGTAACTGCAGATACTATTATTATTCCTGTAAGAACTTAATCCCTCCTTTTCTCTTTTTTATACCCTGGCTAACTGGGTTTCTTTGGTATGATCCTGCATGATCTCCAACATGCACTAAAATAAAGTGGTAACACAAACATTTAAAAACATAAAAGCAAATAAATATCATGCTGAATGCAACACCAATATATGCTGAATTACAAATACGTGGAATAAATAGCATCTAGTTGATGTTATATAATAAAAATTTGAGTATATTTTAGGCCATTTCATCCCCTATGATCTTATCAAGCTCTAAGTCCCTTGAAAATGTAGCTCTCAATAGAGACAACAGTGGTCACTCTTACACCTTCTCTGGTTCCATGGAGTTGAAGACGGGACAGTCACTTAACACTGAAAGCACTGATTGATGGAGGAGTAAAATAAGATGTCCAGTTCTTTGCTAATTTTAAACAAATGAAAATGCATATGACCAGTATCCAATGCCACAAAAATCTTGTGTCTACAACCCTGACACACAGGAACTTGGAATAGCAGAGAATTCTGAATATGACAGTGGGTAAAACCAGTGCTGCTACTGAGATTTGAGGTCCACAGCGATCTGATGAAGCAAATAAGGCATATAAAGACAGACAGCGTGCACTTAGTTCATCAGCATTTGTGCCCCACCGCCACTTTGCCACTAGGATTTGCAAAGAGAGAGGCTCTCTCTGCTGTTGAAAACAATAAGCCTATAACTCAACTGGAAACAGAAGGGCCTGGGAAAAAGGGTAAAACTGCTCTGGAGTCTTAGGCAAGCTTTTTTCTCCATCCAGCATGCGGCTGTGAGGAAGTCAACATTAGACATGCTAGATGGTGTCAGCGTTTTTGGTAACCTCCCAAAATGCTGTGATTTGTGTTTCGCTGTAGCTGCTCTCAGGACTGTGCTATTTAGCCCAACGTGAAGCAAGCCTCTGGGTAGCCCCTTAGGGAGTTTTGCTTGAGCAGAATATAAAGATTAAAGGACCAAAAGTCCCACTGAAGAAACCCATACCCTGCCAAGTAGGAGCATATCTCACTGTCACATAAGGCTGGGCATATCACAACTAAAGCCACAAAAGAGAATTCAGCAGTGTCCTTCCAACGCTGACCAGATGATGATATGAAAATCAAATCACATCGAGCATAAATTTGCCAGAAGCAATGGAATATAAATCACGCAGGAATTGTTTGTATTTAAAATGGACAACTACCCTTGCTCACATGGGTGAGACAGTGGTTTGGTCTGCAAAGATGTGGGATCAAGCTCTTGAACCAGCGAAGGAACTCTGCTGGCAGAGCTGATGGGCACTGTGATTGGGTGTTATGCTATTTAATCTCCTTAAGAAAAAAAAAAAAGGGAAGGATGAAAATTAAGATCTACATCCTCTCTGCTATTAATGGAAACCACTGAAGCAGAATTATCTTGGATTTTTTTTTACCTGGCACTTTGATGCTCTCTGTATCACTTAGAAACCTGTCATTAAAGCAGAGTGAAGTAATTTTCCCCACAGGCATGTGGCTTATAGAAAGGCCCTGACAATGGCTTTCCTAATCCTGCCACTAAAAAGGGGAGGAAGAGGTCCAAAGCAAGAAATGCTTACCTCTGTGTGTTTCTTACAGTACGAGTCTGCAATGGAGCGCATGCAAAAGAGCAAGTTGTCCCATTATAAGAAAACAATGGAGGTAAGCAAGGAGGTTTTGTGCAGGTTTCTTGATGCAAACTGGCTCCAGTTTGAGACAGGGTGAAATCTGTATCTCATGTACCTATATTTAAAGAAAGGTCAAGAATGTGTGAGTGTGCAAGAACATGTGAGAGAGAGAGGATGTGATTCCTACTACGAGGAGGAAGCTAATCTTCCCTGCCACACCCGCTGAAGAGTCTCCAAAACAAATACCCAGAAAGTTAATGTGTAATGAACAATGCCCCAGATCAAACAGGATTTCATTCTTTCTAGGCAAGAATACTTATGGGAGCAAATGTAATTTTTCAGTCTGTGTAAATACAATTTTAAAACCGGTGAGGGAATCTTGTAAACAGGAGGAAACTTCTCCAACTGGAAAGTTTGCCGGTACAGGAACTGCAGGCAGCTGATTTTGGTTTCCAGTGGGCAATTGCCTCTAAAGAAAAGTAGTTGCAGACCTGTCAGTGCTACAGCTGGAACTGTACTAGCAATTTTTATTTAAATGTGGTTGTTCTAAGTGAATCTCTAAGACAGGGAGGTCTTTTGGTACAAATAAGGATTTGTTTTGCTTCTGAGCGCCGAGACTGTTACCTATGAGGTGCTGGCTGTCTCACAGCTTGGAGCAATGGGCAAGGCAACACACTGACTTCAGCCACCTGATGCTCCAAGTCACTCTTTGGAAATGACAACCCATCCCCGTTGGCACCCTGGGCATGTGGGCTCCTAATTTTGTCTCTACACTGTAGCTCGGACAGATGCCTGATGCACCAATGGTGCTAGCGCTGCCTGTGTATTCGTGACCACCCCTGCAGGGAGCTGGCTGCAATCGTACAAAGCAAACAATTTCAGGGCTGCAAGAAGAGGACCTGATTTATGCTGCCAGGCCCTACCCCAATTTTTCAGTTCTATTTTTCTATCTCCTTACGGTGTCATTGGGAATTTTTTCTGTTGCCCAAACTTGGGCACTGATTTGCTCCCCCAGACTGCAAAACAGAAAATGCCTAGAACATCAAGCTGGAGACAACCCAGTCTCGTTTCCTAACCCAAACCCTCACATCTGATTTCATTTTAACACAGTCAAAGAAGACCTACGAACAGAAGTGCAAGGAAGCGGATGAGGCCGAGCAGTCCTTTGAACGGACAAGCGCTTCAGGCAACCAAAAGCAAACAGAAAAGGTACCTTAGCTGACAGTGCTATTTTGAGAGAAAAGTGGTGTTTTCCTTTTCAAGGTACAAAGAGAATACAATTGAACAACCCATTCTGCGGGATGCCAGGGGCTGCTTCCCCTTCTAATTAACCCCTTAGAATAAAAATTAAAACAAAGCACCTTCCCAAGGAGGTCTTCCTTCACAAACTCCTTTGGTAACCCTGATCTTGTTCTGCGATAGGCCAAGGGTTTTTAAAAAGGCTGGGAAGGGACTAAGTTATCTAATTAACTTATCCCAGGCTATGATCTAATTGCTCTATGAATCCTGAAGGGAAACTGAATGAGATTTTTCTCTGAAACTATTAATAAAAAAAAACCCAAGTCAGAAGTATGTCATGCAGTTAGTTTTGCCTTTTGGTCGCTTACATTTAGTAGGCATAGTATCTTACATTAAAATGCATATTTTTCCTCAACATTTTTCTCCTTATGGTTAGTTTAATTTCGACTAAATTTACAAACTCAAAAATAAATCATTGGAAATTAAGGCATTGCAGTCCTTCATTGCATCGTCTTGATACTTGTAGCTGACAATTCACTAACTTTTAATGGGAACATTTTACAGCGGAACAGATGGAGAAAACAAAATAAATGAACTCCCTTTGGCTCGATAAAAATCAGTGCAGTGTAAGCAAAAAGGATCAAAAATCATCTCAAGGAGTGGGGGGATGGAGCCTCTAAAAACAGCATCAGAGCTTTAGATTTTATTTCCAGCATTCGCTAATCTTTGATGAACAAAACCTGCCAGCTTAGCTGTAAAGAGGGGATGAAATTCTGGCCCTACTGAAATTACGCCAGAACACTTAGCAACTTGAATGGCATCAAAATCTGACCCAGCTCCTTTCATGCAGAAGGATCCTAGGGTGCTTCATTGCCATTACTGCCACACACATGCCAGCACATTTGAAATGCACAGAGGCATCTCACAAGAAACATGTCAGCTGTTTAATTCTGCGCAGCACTCGCAAATAGTTTGGGCCAGGAAGCAAATAAGAATGAAGCTAGTGTTCCCAGCTTACTACACATTTTCCAACCAGCTGTGATGAGGAATATGGTCATAAGAACCCCTACCTGAGCGTTGTCTTGAAGGGCAGAATGGGAGAATGTGTTACACTGATGTCTAGAGCTGTGCATTAATGTACTGTCATAACCATCTGTGCAGAAAGACCTGGGAGTACAGAGCTGTCAATAAGAGCTGTATTTTCATTTGTTAAAAGCTGCAGGTTTTTAAAAAAGAAAAGTTCTACTTAGAGTGAATTTTGCTTTTAGGCTTCTGAGTTGTTATGGGAAATAATCTGGCATTTGCAAAGTATTTTAAACGCTGTGTTCTTTTCATCTGTGTATTACATGAGGAGCTTAGAAGATGAAGAATTTTAACTGCCATTTATTTCTGCTTATAAATATCTATTAGAAAAGCACATCAAACACTTGAGAAAAAAACCAACTTAGCCAGCAGACACAAGCTTCAGGCTGGATCACGCTAGCACCAAGCTCCTATGGCAGGGATGTCTGAATGGAAAGATGTAAATTGCCAGATCTCCCTTGAAGTCAGTGGACCTATGGCTGCATCTGCGAAATTCTGGTCCCTTCTTCTCCATAGCACACATTCAACAGAACGGTGCATAAAGGCAGGACAGCCAAGAAGTGTTTGCAACTTTGAGCCTTTCTCCTAGAAGAAGAAAGGGAGCAGGCAGCAAAAAAACTGGGGCAGAAGCAAACATTATGGTCAGAAATTAATTTGTGGTGTTTCTTTTCCTGTTTCAGAGTCAGAACAAAGCCAAGCAATGCAGAGACGCAGCAAATGAAGCAGGTGATGCTCTATTTGCAACTGAACTAAGATTTTTCTCAGCGAAGATCTACCAGCACACTGATTTTGATATAGCACCATCCAAATCACCCAGGCTGGCTCTGTTTGAAGTCAGGTTTCCCAAAGTCACCTACCCAAAGATTAATGAAGAAGCTTCTAAAGAATGGCAACCTGACAGTCATCTACATTTACTTTCCTTTGTGGAAATGCGAATCTCCCGCTTTCATTAAATAATTTATAGAAGACCTCCTTTAGGGACTTCAACCAGGAAAGAAAAGCTCTTCTTTAAGCAAGTTTGAAAGCACAAAAGAATGACGCTCAAATTGCCCCCAGCCAGCCCAAACCAGATACACAGTCCCCAGGTTCCCTGTACATGAGCATGGTAGCATTCTCCAGCCAGAAACACAGTGTATGTCCAGAAGGACAGGCCAGCAGACATCTGAGCTGGTTCATGAGTTCAGACTTGTCCCTCACTGCTCATGGAAAAGTTTACACTAAATCACATGGCTTTCCTGGCTGGCTCAGCATGGAAAGAGCCTAAGGATGCTCAGTGCCCAAGCATGGTCCAGGCTTTTCATCTCTGATTTGCATTATCCCCACTGTAAAGTTTATAGATGATCTGCAAACCATGCAGAGAGAATCCTTATTCTAGTATAAAATTGCAAAGAAAAAACCCAAATATCCTTGTGGCCCACCCATTTCAAGCTCACACATTCTTGTGATACTCTAGCAAACCACAGGCCTGAAGTGTAAGAACCACAGCAAAGTCCTAACAGGAGGAAAAAGAGGAAGACTGCATAATTTTTTTTCCTAACTGTTGGGTTTCTATTATGTGTGTCTGTGTTTACAGAGAACGTGTACAAACAGAACATTGAGCAGCTGGATAAGGTCAGGACAGAGTGGGAACAGGAACATATCAAAACCTGCGAGGTAAACATTGACTTTTGCAGCGATATATTTGTGTGCTTTTTATTTTATCCTACTTGCAGATATCAGTCTAAGACCTGAGATATCGTCCCAAGGGTTTTGCTGTTTGCTTTATGTGAAGTCTCAGTAGATGTCTTTGCAAAAATACTGCAAAAACTAGAGTTGATTTAGACATAGCTGCTAGCTGTCTCACTTGCTTACACTCTCCTTGCTTGTTCAGCATACGTATGTAAATATAAAGGAGTGGAGTAAGAGCAGAGGTGTGAGAAGTGGAGCAATATATGAACTGGTGCAACCTATTTGCAAGCATTTGTTGCCAGTTTTCACCCACAACTTAACATGAGAATACACTAGCTCTAGGGATGATCTTCTATCACAGCCAAGATTAGGTTGTTTCTCAAATAACTGCTTTGTGACAAAATGTAAATGTAGACATGAAAACTCATTTTTAGTTTAAAAAATGAATTTCAAAAATGAAACAAGAAGAATTCAATTAATCCATTAAAAACGAACAAACAAAAGATTCCTTTTAGATTATGTTTTGCAAGAGGCTTCCAGAATGGCTTCTTGTTCTAACACAGGAGAGGTTTTTGTGTTTCCTTTTTTTTTTTTTTTGTAAATCTCACAAGTTCAATGGAGATTAAAAATAAAATTTTCTTGCTAAGCTAAAAAAGTATGTACGTAGCACTCTGAGAGCAAAGATAGCCAAGCCACTCAGAATCTTTATTTTGCATAGCACTTTATATTCACCTGCAAGAATATTTGCCATCTGCCATGGAGTAATCTTTCAATTGAAAGGTGGTGGTGGGAAAGTCTCTATTTCCATTGTGCTGAGGATGGACAAGGAGATTTGCACTTGGCTAGTAAGTTTTGCACAACAATTTACAGGAACTGGTTGACATCCAAATCAGCCACACATTTGATCATATTAATCCTTCAAATATGTTTGCCCATCTGCTAAAGTATGATTTTACTATGTTTACTTGTTGCAGGCTTTATTTCCACATAAAATAAAATGCCAGGAGCATAGCTTTCCAGTTCTCTGCTTCCTCTTAAATATTCCCTATCTGGGAGGACTGGAAAGTCCCACAGCTGGTACAGCAGACTTTCCATAGAAATTGTGCCAAGCCTTAATTTTCCCAAGATGCACATTTTCCCCCTTCTTAAAAAGCCAACAAACAAGCAAAGCGTTCCACAACCTAAAACACTTCATTTCTCCCACATGGCTAAATTGTGAATAGCCCACAGAGCTTGTGGCCTGCCCGCTGCTTAATTCGAACAACCATTCATAAAGGAAAGGCATCTTTAACGCCTTCTTTTAAAAGTGCTTGTAGATAGAAGAACTGATAGCTTTTTTGAGGCACTTAAAACTAGTAACTCGTGCAAAAGCAGCTTAAGATCCCAAACTTCTGGCTGCTTAGCAGGGAATCTGGGAGTGCTGAGGTCGCTTAGGTCTCTAGCTGAGCGCTGGACATCCATAGCCCGAAAATCTTGGCTAGGAAGTGGCAGCACTGGGACGACCTTTGTCACGGGGGCTGTGCCATATTCCTTGGCATGAAATGCCCAGCTTCACTAGCAGTCTGTTGCACAAGCTGATGGGGCACGAGGAATGTATCTAACACAATGCCCTGCTGGACTTTGCAAAGGGCTTGACAAGCCCAGAGTCACCTGGAAAATTCCCAGTCAGCTCTTGTGCTATTTCAGCAGCCTCTGAGGGGCTAGGCTGCAGCCATAGGCTTTTTGTTCAGAATGGATATTGAAATACCCATTCTCCACCCTTTAGGTTCTCTTTAAAAGCTTTTCCTCTCAGAAACTGGTCCCAATGCCAGCTGACTCCCTTGATGGACTCTTTTTTCTGGTTTTTTTAGATGGTAAGATATTAGATGGCAGGCAGCGTACCCAACTGAATGTTCTGCTGAATATTGTATACATTTGTGGTTCTGGACATAATTACTAGCAAACAGAGATGGAAACAGATGGCTGGAAGCATCTGAGCTTTTCACACCTCATAGAAAACCAAAAATTGATGTTCTACTTATAACAGTACAACTTAGAGATCAGCGTGGTTGGTTTTTGTTTTTTTTAAATTTTTTAAAGAAGGAGTTTATCTTCCTCTTCCCCCAACTCAGTTCACACTTCTCCTCTCTCTTCCCCCTTCATTCTTCCCAAGCTGTGCAACAACGTGAGAAAATGAGACAGATGAAGGAAGGGAGTAAACTCTGAAGAAAGAAAAATGCCTTCTCTTTACTATGAAAATAACCTTAGAAATGAACAGAGGCAACTCCAGAGAGTCTCAAATAGTTTCAAAAGAGAAAAGTTTGGAAAGACATTTTAGAAGGCAGAGATGGATAGTTTTGGCTCTACCTCTAACATAAATACAACCCTTTCATGCCAGTACTCTACTGATCTGTTAAACATCAAGATTTCAGTGCGACGGGCAGACAGGACCCTGACTCTGAAATCCTTGGCGGTAGAGGTAGCAGTCAAATCCAGATCCTGATTCCTCTGCCCTGCTTTATTTCTCTCTGAAAACATAACTTTAATTTGGTGCAATCAATTAAAACAAATTCTTGAGCACGAACAAGTAGATGTAGTTTCTCCAGTAGCTGAAAAGATGTCCTTTACAAAGGATCCTTCAGAACGGTTTGCAGACTTACGAACTTGGCCCAGAGGAGCCCCAGCACTGTCGCTGCCTGCAATGCAAATAAATAACTACCATGAGGCTACGTCATATCTCCTCTTTGGCTTCAGGTCTTCCAGCTCCAGGAATGCGACCGCATCACCATTCTCCGCAACTCGCTGTGGGTTCACTGCAACCAGCTCTCCATGCAGTGTGTGAAGGATGACGAGGTAGGGGCACCTGCCAAGTAGCTTCACGTGCAGAGGAGGAAGAGGAGGAGCAAGAGTGCTCTAACAATACAGCACTAGCTTGCCCTTCTCTGCACATGCTGACTGTCTCCAGCAAACTGGCTGTTGTACATGTTCAGTGAGGGAGGAGTATTCTCAATCTAGCTTGTTCCCTCTAGATGTAAACTAGATATATGCCTGGATGTAGACGGTCTGTGCTGTGTCACGCTTGGTGACACTTAAATGACTCCTCCCTTCAGTTTGTTGGGGAATGCTTCCAGCTACCAGAACGCTCAATCGAGTACATTTGGGCTCAGACACAACTTTCAGAAACGCATCCAGTCATGGTCTCAAAATTGGAAGACGTAAACGATGCAGTAGTTTTGACTTTGAATGGTTGTTTCCTGCTATTAATTTCTTTATTGCATTGAAAAGCCCTGGACTGCCTTCGTCCTCCTCTCTTAAAAGAATGTCCAGAGCACAAATAAACAATTGTGTTTACAAGAATGTTTGTACGGGGGACAGGCCAAAGATCCATCCAGGTCAGACATGTATCAAGTATAAAGTGTCTCTTAAGGGGAAAAGTATTAGAAGAGCATTAATTGTTAATTCAATGTGAAATGTTAAAAATTAAATTAAATTCTTGGATTCTGTTTTGTAGCTGTATGAAGAGGTTCGGGTAAGCTTGGAGAACTGCGTTGTGGAGTCAGACATAGACTACTTCATTAAAACTAAAATGACAGGAACACAGCCTCCAGGTAATTATTCCTATTGGTCTTGTCAGATGAGTCACCCATTAGGCTGAGGCTGCAGTTGTGCAGTACACGTCCGTTGGAGGTGAAGCCAGCTGGAGGAGCTTCAGCTCTGGCTAGTCATTCCCACCTGCCACGGCTCACTTCCCCCTCACTGTGCTGCCATCGCTCCTTGTGCAGCTCTGTAAGTGGGATAGCTGAGTGATCCAGGTTAAAAATAACCTTCCAAAAAAGAAAAAAAAAGTTGTTTTGGCTTTTCAACCAGGCTCATTTCACAGTACAGCTGAACTGACACCGCTAAGGAGGTGACAAACTGCCTTGCAGAGATGGCAACCTCAATTTCCTGCAGTGCTGACAAATCAGAGCCAACTTAACATGTAACTGCACCCTGGTGTCCCCTTGACAGAGGTGCTGCCTCTTCATTTGCAGCACAGAGAGGACCAGACTTTGTATTCTGTTTTGTTCCACCTGCCCAATGGGGAGTAACATCTTTTTTCCTCTCAGGAAGTTGTTTGTATAAGGGCAACACCCTAGCTGGGTGAAATTTTGAATGAAATTGGCTTTTCTCCAGCATGCAGAAGTGATGTAAGGTTCACAGAGTCTGTCCATTCAAGCCAAAGCAGCCTTTTCACTGACTTCAATGATCAAAACCTCTGGGCTGAAATGGAGTTTGGGACAGCAAGAGCTAAGAGCAGTTATAAAATGAAAACATGCTGCTCCAGGGTAGGAGTTCCCCAAATGCATCACCAGAAAGGAGGCTATCTAACGTTTCACATGGCCAAATACAAACCACACCCTCATACTTCAACAAGCAATACAAGGTATTTATAGACTGAGTGAATGCTTGCACTTCTGTGCAGCTGCTGCAGTAAACAAAGATTCACAGCCTTTGTAAAAGGAGAGAGAAATCCCTGTTTCATCTCTTCATTAGCTGATAACACATATCTATGCTGAAAAGATCTCTTCCTCCATTTATTATTTTTTTTTAATCTGTGCACAGATACTATTTCACTTCCACTATCTGCTCTAACACCAAGGGATAATCACCTCGTACAGGAACAGCTTACACCCCTTTGATTCCATCGCAGAGCTCAGAGCTGGCGGCAATTATCCCCTAGGAACGTCTTCAGCAGAGCTGGATGCTGCCCCTAACTCAGCACTGAGCTATCTGAGGCCTGTTTTTCACTCAGCCTTTCTGTCATTACACCTATGATGATTACAAATTGGGATTTGGGAATTTTTTTAAAATTAATATATTGATACTAGTGCACTGGATGCCATTTTGCTTCTATAGTTTATTCTTCTTCACATAGGGGATTTAAATTCACTGATATAGGAGCATTTACGAAGGAAGAACTACATTTTCACTGGCAGAAGGGAGAACTGTGCCTTGCAACAGCGTGAATCAACTTCTATATACTAAGAAATTTGTAATTCTCAGCTAGATTGGTTTTTTTTTCCCTATGTGAGATTTCCCATTCTCCAGTCACCTAGGCAATTTTCTGCAAACAGCTCTTGGCTATGTCAGGACTCATTTCTAATAAGAAATAGGTGGGAAAAACCCTTGAGAGCTTTATGAAAGGCAAAGAAACAACTAACTTGCTTTTTTGTTGGTTTTTTTTGCCACCTTCTAGAAGGTGACATATTCTGGAAGTAACATCCTAGTATCTCCACAGCTCTGGCTAATGAGTTTGCACAGTAGCACACGGTGAGCTGTTGATCTGTTTTATTATTTGCAAAATGCAGGAGGAAACCCACATGTGGTTTTGCATTGTGTAGCAGGAGACCTTAATCCTGACCAAACCTTTTGGTTTCTTGATGCTATTGCTCACTCCCCTCTTCTACCTAATCTTACAATGCATTATAGACTAGAAACTATACCAAGGTGACAATCTAGAAATGTAATAGGAGATCCTTAGATTGGTGAGGAAAGTCCCTAATTACTGAACATCTTATTTGTACGGATTCTTCACACTCACTAGTTCTACATGCCTGCTCTGCTTATGATCTTGGCTGACCCAATGTGAGAATGTCAGCACAACCTTGAGCCCAAGTCCAATGTCTTTCTTAATTTGCTGGTATCAGAGCTGAGATAATACGGTATCACAGACTTCACTCACGTTTATTTGGCTTTAACACAGAGAAGGCAGAAAGGGTGTGTGGCCACCAGCTCTAAGCAACTACGCTGGGAGCTATGAGATGAAAAATAAATAAATCCAGCTGTAACCATTTCATCTGTAAAGCTAGACTTGGAAATGGTCTCAATTTCACCCTTAATGACACCATAGGGGAGAGTGAAGGAACTGTAACATAACTGTGTTTGAGAGAACAAAAAACAAATATCTCTGGGTAAACAGCAAATCAGCTCTCAGGAGGTGGATGGGGGAGATATGAGAGGTAGAGAGACACCCAAGCACAAGCACAGACCAGGAAATTGCTCATTACTGCTGCTGGCAATAATGTTCAGAAATCTCCCTAGCTCCGACAAAAATTCCCGACTCAATACATTAAGAAAAAAAGAAACAAAACACACTGCAGCCGACTGTATCAAGAACATGGTCCCAGGCTCACAATGACCATGCTCTGCTCCCTTAAATCCTGAGCTTTAAGGCAACAGAGGAAACAGTCATGGAGGAAACTGCCTTCGTAATTAGGGTTAGCCACAGCTATTAGGATGGTTCTTCAGGACCTTGACTGTGCTCGTCTCAGGTCAAGCATGCCTTTCTACCAGGGACATATCTGCTTACAATCACTTGAATGGCTTTTGTCAAGTCCCCGTGTCCCCCTCAGCTGCTCCAGCCACATTATAGGTGAGCGCAGATAGGTGCTGTGTTGCAGTTTGCTCCAGCAGCCCCTGATGGTTGCAACTGTCGATTGCATTCTGGTGGGGAGAAAAAAGGTTTACCTGTTTCTACATCTCATTTTTATTGCCCTGTTGCAGATGCAATAGGATATGAGAACTACTACAGCAGAGAACCAAACAGAAGCAACAGCAGCCCAACCCAGTCTTGTGGGATGATGAAGAGGTGAGTGGCAAACTTTGGTTCCCAGAACAGGTATTTCTCCATGTGAATGGAGAAATGTATGACAGCATACAAAACCTGGAAAGTTATTACTTCCTTCACTGTAGCAAGAGGCAGCTATGTATCAATAAATATAACTTGACAGAAGAATTAAACCTATTAAAACCCAAGTCAGAGTAATTTTGCCATGGCCTAGTGGGAAGAGAGACAGGGGACGAGTTCATAAAACAATTAGTTGGCCAGCAATGGATAGCATTCACTTATTTCCTCTTCCCTAGTGAGTCATGGCACATAGCAACAAAACCACTTTGTTCGAGGGAGGGCAAAGGTGAATCTTGCTGGGAGCAAAGGCTGGGGAGAACTGTCTTTTTCGGCAATACCTCCTGGCTTACTGCACCGCACAGCTGAGCAGAACAAAGAGCTGCTCTCTGTATCTAGACCAAAGGAAAAAACACTTGGCAGAATAACTGTGATGATTAGGGAGGCGATTTTTCTTTTTCTGATCCATTTATGCTGGTAAATGCTGTAACATGGATGCAGTTATATCAGCAGAAGAGCATGGTAGATCTATTGGTTTAAATATTTTGTACTAAAATGGCTAATTCACAGTGGGAATGCCGTCATATTTAAAGCAGAAGAGCTTTATATTTTGAAACGCCTTATTACATGGCAAAGACAAGGAGTGGGCTGTGATCTCCCGTTTAAAATGTGGTCCAGGCTTGTTAGTGAGCTGAGAAGGTTTGTACACAATACTTTGTTTTTCAGTTGGAAACCAGATCTTCTGTAATAATGAATTCTAATGCTGCATCCTATACAGTTACAGAAGACAATTATACTGCCATTTAGAATACAACCGTGCTCTGCATGGGCACACAGCCTAGAGAGGCTCAGTCTGAGTTTTTCAGAAACTGTTGAGTTTGGATGTCCATTTTCCAGAAACACTGAGTGTTCACCAGCTGAAAAATCAGACCCTTTAAATATGCCTTCAGCATGCAATGCTATTTCTGTCTATGCTTGAGAATCCTAACCCATATTCTCACTTTACTTAGTCTCCAGTACCCAGCTGTGATATAGAAAATAACTAGGGAAGGGGGGGGGGGGGGGTAAACTCACAGTTTTTAGAAAGGCTCATTATACAAGCTTTGTATTTTAAATTGTATCAGAGTTTTCCTTAAAGACAAAGAGTTGGTAATCTCTTATAAACAACTGCTAATTCTCATCATATTAATATTGTGAAATAATTGGAGTTTTGCATCATGAGCCTTTGGATCAACAACAAAATACATTTTATGCACAATTTACTGATGGCTGATGGTTCAGTATTCTGCTGCTTTTTTTTTTAAATATATTTTTAACTGAAGATAAATATACCTACAGCATAAATGAAAACAGACAGCCACAGAAAGAGGTGACATCTACCCAGTGCTGCAGCAGATGGAGGGAAGGTTGAGTCAGACAGCTGAGACGAAGGAATGCTCATACCCAGTCCTATTCACTCATTTTGTCATTGGCTTCTCATGGTTCTGCAGATTCTCCGGACTACTGCATGGAAGCAGCAAAAACAACACGGAAAGTGCCACTCCTTCAGCCCCTCCTCTTGGTATGCCTCTTCAGGAAATAAGTTTACTGGATGTGTTTGTTTCACATCACATTGCTAAATCAAGCTTTGACACGGAGCAGAAATGGTACAGCAGATATTCTCATGTTGGCAGTCAAGAGTAAGAGTAGTCAGGAAACGAGTTTAGCTTGGATGTTTATTAAGCAAATTTCCCAGTTTAAACTGCCAAATAATCCATATAATCTTAAAAACCTCTGTCTAGGCAAGGGGGAACTGTACATTCAGGACAACATAGTCTGACTTAGGTAATAGTTTTCTCCTAAGGTAGAATACACTGCCTCTAAAAAGCCCAAGAAAATACCTAAGTTTTTAACAGACCAGGTTCATGCCTTATGAATGCAAACATCCATCTCGTTTCACAGTTACACAGTCCTATTGCAACCCTTGCAACTAGGCACGTATCAGATGACATTTAAAACATAGCATTTTGACTATGCAGAAAGTAATAGCTTATGACACTTTTATTGGTTTGATTTAAGCCAAAAATATTTTAGCTGTGATTCTTGCCTAAAGAAAATAAAAAGCTGTTTTAGAACAGCTTTAGAACATACCCAAATCAATTTCCTTTGTCAGGCCTGCCTGCTTGGGCACCCAGAAACGAAGCCCAGACTATCTATCTTACTCCTTGCATTTGGTGCTCAGCTAGGGGAGACTCTCCAGTGCTATCAAACACCAGCTGGACCTGCCAGGCACCAGCTCGGGCTTGGGCCCACGTAGAGCAATGCAGCGTTGAGCAGTTGAGGGTAGTCACTCCTTCTGAATTTCCTTAGGCTGGGGACAAGAGGGGAGAGCGTTTCTTGGACAAGACCTTCAGGAATGGCAAACACTCTCTGCATTCAGCTTTTTCAACTGCTCCCATGCTTGCCTTTCAAAATCTGAAAAATCAAGGAACCGACGGTGCTCCTTAGAGCAGGACGACTAAACCAAGGGTTGACTATGGGAAGGTACAGGCACCCTGGCCGCTCTGTGCGCCGCTCTGATGTCAGAGTGCTGTCATCCCACCGAGGAGTCGTACGTGGGAAACTTCTGCTCACCTCAACGGCAGGAGAAGCTCCCAGGCAGATGCTGGGAAGGAATAAGAGGTTTCCCTAATTATGACAAGCTGGATTAAAACAGTATCTTCCAAAAAAGTTATGTCAGTGACAAATAGCTATCTGGGAACTATGGAAACTACTGAAAAACGTCTGGTGACCCATTGGCACAATAGTTTCCATTTTTCTCAAGGGAAAAAGAGAACTATGTGAGTGACTATGTCAGTGACTACGTGAGTCACTGAACTGCTAGAATTTTATACCACCAGTAGCAACCATTTTAAACCAGTTTAATCACAGCATTTCGCTCTCTGGAACATTTGGATTGTGCTTTAGCAGGGTAAACGTTTTTCCCAACCTGGATGAGGCTAAAGCTAGTTTCTGACCTCCCACAAAGTTCAATGGGTGTATTGTCATCTAATCAATGGGACACAGTTTTTGTGCAAGACTTTACCTACAGTTCACAGCAGCTTTTCTATACATGTACATCTCCAGACAGAGAGAGAACAGAAACCCTTGTATTTGTGAACTCTTGCATATGATCCCATGCATTTATAAGCAACTGAACTCTTTGTTTCTGTGTGTGGTTTGGTTTTTTTTTTCCCCCCCTAGCAGAGAAAACAGACGTAGTCTATGCATCTGTTTTTGTAAATGAACAAGCTGGAATCACATCATCACAGGACTACAGAGTACTTTATGACTACACAGCCCAGGTAATGAAAGGCTTCAAAATAAATATTTCATTGTGTCAGATTTAAAATAGATGATGTTGATCCAAACATCTTGAAAGTGTTAATTCTGTGAAGGAGGCGTTATCTTCACTTTACAGCCAGGGACACTTAGAGAATTACTGGAAGTGATTACACATTAGCATGCTATATCCCTCCTAAATTAGTGCTGAGCTGTTAAAACTTCCTTCTAGAGATACAGGAGACCACAAACACAAGGAAAACTATTTTTTTAGGGGATGATGGCTATGCAGTATTGTGCATTCTGAACTTAAATCTCTTGTGAAATGTTCTCCTAGGGAAAATAGCTACAGGTTCCTCGTGTAAGAACACGTGACAGATGCTTATCTAGGAACTCTTCTCCACTTGATCTCACTTATCATCTGGAGAGTCCTGCTCCAGTTTAACACACTGGCTTCAACTGAGGTGCTCTCCATGCTGGAGAGGACTGAATCCCCATAAATGACTGTTTCCCTGTACTTCCATGTTGCAAGTTGCAGAATTGCAGTGGACGTGGTCCACGTACCAAAAGATTGTTATAAAGAGCAACCTGCATCCTTAACTGGGATACTGAACCCTCGCTGGCTTCAGACCTATCCAGGCATAGTACCATTAGTAGAAGATTATGAATGGACTGGTTATGAATATTTTCTTATTCAGATGGACTCCAGAACCTCTTGGACTCTTGCTAAACCATTAGCGTCCCCCAGTGGGACTTGCACAATTTAATTACATGTCAGTTTAAAGCTACCTTTTATTAGCTTTAGATTAGCAGAAGGAGCAGCATCCAGGAGGTCTTATGTTACAGTGCAGAGAGACCCTCACACCACAGGACGTGCCATCAATAGCCAACATTGAAGAAATGCTGGCACGTGACAAAATCATATAGCCAGATAAATTATTAAAATAGAGAAAGGACTGGAAAGGAGCACTTTCTCTTAGGTACAGCAGCGTTCTGACACCTTTTATTATATGTTCTTTGTTTTGCTTTGTATTAAACTTTCTTTTATTATTTGCCTGAAATTTCATCCAAGCACAGCTGAAAGTACCTCACTGTTAATGGCAGTTCCCCTGAGGAGACTGCTGGATCCCGTTGTCAGATCCTTACTCCAGGAGTTGTCTTAAAAATATGACACACACAGATTTTCCCTGCTGAGAAAGAGCCTGTTACCACTTTCAGTATATTGTATATTGAGACCTCTCTTTTTTTTTTTTTAAAAATGTACTTCAGGTACATTAAATTTAGATTTAGCTGATGCATCAAACATATCTGGAAGCCTCTCTTACCCTGTTTTCTATTTTACTACACTGTGGGTAGCAAAGTGGTTTCCTATGGAAAATAGGACAGCACCACTGAACGGACTGATGGCTGCCTGAGAGCTCAGCGCTAGCTTACTTGCAACTACTCCATTGGTCTCAGAGATAAAAGTTACGTATCTCAGGAAGAGCTGCTATACCTCCACTGATCACCGCTGTTCTGTATTAAAAGAACTGAGAGACCTATTTAAGGCCTGGATTAGTAGAGACACTGTTTTTATCTCCTTTGGGAATTAAGCTGTGCACTGTTTTATTTAGCAACACCTGCAGACTACGAAAGGGTCATGGTTAGCTGGTTTAGGACAGTCGTATTTAACCCTTTCCGGCCTTCCCCAATAATACAACAGTCAAGTTGCTCAGCAGAAGACACCATGGAGACTGGGGAAATTTGAGGATCTTAAGGAAATAGCCAGCTTAGTAAGTGCTTAATCCCTCATTGTGTGGTATCTCAGGTTCATTCCCAAGCCAAAGGACACCGGCAGACTGTTGATGAAAGGCAGGGTAAAAAACCCCACCAGATACATGCTTGGGCCCTCCTGTGCTCTCAGGCTAACCACATTTCCTTTCCCTGTCTACTTTCAGAACGTGGATGAACTGGACATCAGTGAAGGAGACATTGTAGTTGTCATTGAAGAAAACGAGGATGGCTGGTGGACGGCAGAAAGGAATGGGCAGCGAGGCTTTGTGCCAGGGTCTTATCTCGAAAAGCTTTGATGAAAAGAAGCCCCAGTCCTCAGACTTTAAAAATACTCTATTACTGAAAACAAACAGCACACAAGGTCTGCTTCAGCTGACCCAAGGGCAACCCATAACACTGTCTTCTACAATTACCAGTCAGGAAATAACCAACTGACCATGCTTTCCTCTTCCTTCCTCCTGCCCCATCCCAGCACCTCCTGGCCTACAGTCTGCAAAAAATGTCTTCACCTCAGAGAGATTAGGACTTGCGTTTCTTACCACAGTTCTTCCTACCCTCAGCACACTGTGCTGCCATCAGCGTTGCAAAGCATGGTGAATCTGGGAGGAAAATCCTGCCCAGAACTTAACAGCACTAAAGGAAAAAGATCAAGGAAGCAAGTGCTGTTTCTCCAGGACAGAGGACCACCTCCAGCCAGCCTGTGAGCCACCCTCATGGTCACAGCAGCCATGTTCTCTGCAATGGATCCCCTCCTCTCACTGCACAGGCCATGCAAGCATTTTTGACAGTGGGGTGGAAAGCGATAGCTCTGATGTCACAGTGTCTTAGCTGTACATAGCAAGGAAAAAGCTCTCTTAAGTTCCTTTTAACAGCCCCCTTTCGAGTTCCCCTTACAGCACATGGGTAACCAGGGAGAAAGGTGGGGAATCCTCCACTGTTCTTTATCAGAGTTACTGATGAAAATATGGAAAACAATGAATGCAGCTAGAGAGGAGCACCTGAAGTACCGAGACACATCAGTAGTAAGAAAACATAAAGCACTCCCCATCACGGCCATCTCCTAATACAATGAAATCTATGCTACCCACGGTTCTGCTTTGCACTGGATTCTGGGGCAGCAAAATAAGGAGAGATGATGAACCCAAGGCTTGCTTTTGCCTTGGTTAGATGTTTTCCCTGACACCTCCCTGGGATTTTTCATGTTTAAATAAACAACAGAAACAACAAATAAGCAAAGCCTCCAGCAGTGCTGCACTGCCCTGAACCCTCTACCCTGAGCACAGGAGAGAAGTGCCAATTATCTCCTCACGCAACCTGCATACCCGTGTCATCAGTGCATTCTCCTTTCAACTCCTCTGTCCACCTGGCTGATCCTCTCCTTCTCTTCTGCCCACAGGCTTTTCTGTCTCTAACTGCTATCTACAGCCTTTGCACCTCTGGGATTGCTGGCATAGACATGTCCTGGTTCCTTTCCAGGCACTTTTAATGTGCTTGTTCTTCAACAAACTCTCTTCAGAGAAGCCGCACTGTACAGGTTCACTGTATTTCACAGATTTCAGCTCTTATCAGTCTTTCTAGTTTAGTATTTAAGAACGTTTCCAACTGCCACTGTACTTACCAAGGGATCGATAGATACTTTCTGCCACTCCTCCCTTTTCAGTATTTCGAGATGGTTAAAAAAAAAAAAAATCGGTGATTTAATCTGAAGCAGAGCACGCTATTTCTGGGGGCAGAATGACCTTGTTTGCCAAGGTTTCAGGTCTTAAAACTGAACCAAGTCAATGAAAACCAAGGGATCGATAGATACTTTCTGCCACTCCTCCCTTTTCAGTATTTCGAGATGGTTAAAAAAAAATAAAAATCGGTGATTTAATCTGAAGCAGAGCACGCTATTTCTGGGGGCAGAATGACCTTGTTTGCCAAGGTTTCAGGTCTTAAAACTGAACCAAGTCAATGAAAATGAATCAAATTGCTACCCAAAAGGCACAGAGCAGGGAGGAACTGTTAGCTAAGACACAGCAGGAAAGACAAAGAGAAATCTAGACAGAAGAAAAAGCCATAATGGTCAATGCAATTATTCCTTAAATGAAACAGAATGAAGGTCAGAGGCACTTGCAGTACCTTATTCTAATTTCTTGCTTCAAGAATGGAATAAAAGTTGCTGCAGGCCCTTTTTCTTTAGTTCCCTGCAGTCCTTTGCACAGGCACACTTGTCCTTCCCACACCTACCCAAGTTAATATGCAGCACATCTGCATCCGTGCTGAAGGGCTCTTAGTACCTCACATTAGCACAGGCTCAGAGGAACTGCAGGAACTTGAACGGCATTTAAGGCACTAGGTTATACGAACAGTAGTGCTTAGGCTGAAGATGTTAACAACAGGTTTCCGTGATCACGTCCGAATTGAACAGTGATAGAAAGATGTTCCACAATAGCCTTCAGCTAGGCCACCGCACTGTAAATGGTAGCTGTCAGACAACTACAACATCACTTGTTATGTACAGCATGAGAGGAACCTAAAGTATGAGAGATTTAATATATTTGCTTCTTGAACACTCAGTCTTCCACAAAGAGAACTGTAATAAACCAACAAATACTTAAATAAATTTAGGTAGCTATTTTGCAGATTATCTTAATTAAAGAGAAAAAAATAAACCATTGAGATGCATCTCCTCTAATTATGTGTGACACACAGATTTTGCTAAGACTCCTCGCTTCTCTGGGGGCCCAGACAGCCTCACACAAGACGCTGCAGTACCCAGTCCTGGTTACCCTGAAAACCTGTTACAGATCATCTTTGCTTACATGTACCACATGGTCTACATCACTGACGGACAGACAGCTAGTGGAATGGTGACTGCTCTTTCTACCCCATCAAATAATTTCATGTTTTTGCTGTTAAACTCAGGAAACTGGTTTCCTTTCTACCTATCTCTTCTTCTGTCAAGTAAATACTGTTGTAAGTGCAAGAGGCTATAGATATTTCAAAATCTACCCAGTGTCATAGCATTTGGGTACCACATGCTAACTCCAGACTGTTCAGGAAATGAAAAAGCAACAGCAATGTTTTCTCATGATTCCTCTGCTTTACATTGAAGAATTTGGCTGATAAGTAGTTACCAAGACATATCTAGGCAGTTTGCCCTATCAGTGTAGCAGCACTTGTCAGAAATAGAACAGAGATATCAAGAAATACCCACACCCTCTGAGTACACCCCCATTTTAGGTGTCACCCACCTCCCTGTCAGTAGGAAAAGCAGGAAGGTCAAATGTAGGTTACTGCCTTAATAATATTGCTTTAATAACAATGTTTCCTCTCCAGATTGGTAACACTTGGGCAACAAAACTGATGCATTCAAGCAATCATTTAATTTTCAGGTAAGATGGGAAACTGAAATGGGCCCTTTCCAGTGGGAGGCATTCTTAAACTAAACTCCAACATTTTTGGTTGAAATTCTTTTTGGACAAACACTTCTGATAAGCCTCCACGTTCATTTTGACTACCATTTTTTGGCAAGGAGGTGCCAAACAACATGCAGGGACAAAACAACAGTGGCAAAGTTGTGTGTTTGTCAAGTTAACTCCTATTTCATAGCACACTCTCAATAAGCAGACTACCTCATTACTGACGCTGCTAGTGCTCTGGCTCCGGGTGGGTTCACACATAAGAAGCTGTTCCCAGAGAGCAAGGAACATGCATTTGCCAGCTGCTCTGCAAGGGGATAACTTGATTACCTACCTATAGCCTGTGACTTGTATGTATATACAGACAAACTCATTAAAGAGAAGTTACAATAAAATTACTGAGCTGTTTTTGACTTGGCACTGCAGGACTTCAGTTTGCACAACAGACAACAAGTATTTCATGCTGAACAATGTCAGACCTGTAACTGTTACCTCTAGAAATTTTGACTAGGCCATAAGAAACAGGCATCATCTATCCATTAAATATGAACGTCAAGAAAGATTGGGAGTCATTTCCCTCACAAACCACAACAGAATAGAAAGGGACTGAGGTTGACAGCTGCTACTCTTCTAGATGGATTTTGGATTTGAGGAACATGGCCGTGAGATTGCTATGAAAAAGTGTAGTGGTAATCTGTTCTATTATTCCTTTAACCGCAACAAGAATTCAAAGGTTGGAAGTAGGCAATCCAGCCCAACAGTACCCTTAAACCAGACTCAGATATGCACATTATTCTCTTTTACCATGTTATCATTAATTAAGGAGAACAGGAAAACCTGTTTAAAAATAACATTTAACCAATAACAACCATATGTAATTAGGAAATATCTACAAGAGCAGCATGAGGCCCAGCTCTGCACAGAACAGATTTCAGCTGCTGCATATGGCATTAAGAGCCCACAAGCCAGTAGTAAAACTTGGTCAAATAAGTAGTGTCAGACTAGAAACAGAGAGATCCAGGCAACCCAGCTCTAGGACAGCCAACACAGTCAGTGCTTAACCACAAAGAAAGGACCTCCTGCCAAGCTCACAGGTCCATTGCTACAGACAGCTAGCTTCTAGCATTTTTTACAACTACTCAGCTGAAAGGAAGAAATCAACCCCTTTACAGCTGAGCAGTCAGCAACAGCAGGAGCACAGCAGCTGTTCAAGGTTTGAAGTGTTTGCAACCTCCTTGAGGACTGTGGCTTGAACTCTATTACGAATAACCCCGGCATACTTCAGTCAAAGTGTTGACAGATCATATACGTAAGACATAAACAGTAGCAACTGTTACCTTGGATTCCTTCTCATCTTGCTTCTTCAAGAGGTGTATTCAAGGTCTGAGTCTCCTTTCCAGAGGTAATTTTCTAGGCAAAGATTCCCGATTGCTGCTCAGACCTCACTGATTACTGAATACAGCTTAAGTGGAAGCACACGGATGCCAAGAGGAGATTCGTTACAAGCCAGGCATCAGGTGGTGTCTAATAGGAGCCTGGTTGGGCATTAAGAAACATCTAACCTAAGCACTGGTGGATAACTAAGACACTTTCTTCTCTGGTACTATGTAACCTCTTGGCAGTATCATTGCTAGCTGGCTTAACTGTGCAGGCTTAGAGAACCCAGGGGACTCTACATCAGCACTACACACAGTTTGCTGCACTGAAAGGTCACTGTTAACCTTCAGTGTGACTGGCAACAACTCTGCACAGTATAGGACCCACTGTAAAGGCCTGAAAAGCAGCCTCTGCTGCTCAATACCATCTCTTTTCCCTTGCCTTGTTGTTCTCCAGCTTGCAGGGCTGGGGCATTGAAAGCAAGGGCAGTTACCAGCCACACAGCTACCAATACT